GCTAACATTTCTTAAGGGTCTCCTACATCCTGGAGAATATAATAAGCATATTACAAAAATCATCTCTAACTTTTTATAGCAAGCCAGTCAAATAGGAATTTTGATTATTCTCATTTCACCAATGTGAAATTGAAGCTTAAGGAGGCTAGTCTCACAGAGGTAAGTGGAGAAGCCAAAGTTTGAACTCCAGACTACTCAACTCCAGAGCCGAAGTGCTTTATTACTACTTTATACCAAGTTCCCCTATTTCTTACACTCTCAAAATATATTAAACTTAGGTAAAATACCAGTAATTGAGCATCTCTGGATGAATCAATGAATAACTATCTCATTGGTTATGATACTTGAATTTCGAGCTAAGCAATGGAAAGGGTTATTATAGAAAAAGAAACCTGGTCCCCTGTTCTTTTATTTAATAGGATATTGTTTATTTAATACCTCTTTATTAAATAAATAGATTCATTAAGTATTAAATTATTTAATATCTTGTGTAATATTGGCTCTATTGTTTAACATAATTTTATTTAATAAAATTCTTCATTTAACAGAACAGAATATATTTATCATGAGAGTTACAGAGAACAGAATTGGTCAACCACAGAGTAAGTCAGGGATGGATCAGTTCATAGGCAGAAATAAAATAGAAAAACTAGGGATAACAGCAGGCAGCCTGGACAGTACCACACAAGATAATAGTACCTTAGTGAGGTTATCACATTCTGGGAAAATGAACCCCTACCCTGGAGGGCTAGAGTTAGATTTTTGTCAGGCGCCCAGACTAGAAGCTCTCTCAAGTTTGGACAAAAACCAGTAAAACTCATGAGAGACCAATTTACAAAGCAGAATGTCAGCTTCTTGGTTACAGTGACCTAAATGTTCATGGCAGATTAGTACATTCTCTCCCTAAAAGAAGAACTATAACATTATCAAAAGTTTGCTTGAAAGTTCAAAAGAACATATAGAGAATGCTATCTTTTAAGTAAGAAAAAAGGGAAAAATAAGAAAAATGCATGTATCTGCTTAAAAAGAAGCACAGGAATGATAAACAAATACAACAAACAAACACAGAAAGGAAAGTAATGCAGCTGTTTACAAAGGCTGGAGGGAAAGCTAAAGATTGGGGGTGGATCTGGGAAGAAGTGGCATTTTTCCAAGTGGCATGTTTCTTACCTTTTTGTGTAAGTTTGGCTTTTGGAAGCATGTTCTACATATTTAAGAAATTAAATTAAATCAGTAAGGATTGGAAGGAAGAGAATTTAAAACTGAAAGCAAACTGAAATGAACTCAGTTACATTCAAATGAATACTATGAGCACACTGAAAGGAAAGAAAAGAGTAACCGATGAACACTGTTTTTAGCTTGTATACCTCAGGCTTAGGTTGAGAGGAAGGGAAAATTACAAACAAATCCTAAACTATTTTTAGTAGGTTTATTTTGTGGTAGTATGAGTGAAGCATTTCTGAAGCAATTTTAGATATACTGTAGGACTGAGCGAATGAGTGAATTTGTCATAGTTGGGAGTCAGGGTTCTTACTAAGGAAAATGAAGCATACAGATATGGAAGGGAGGAAGGCAAGAGAGAACCCTGTGGGGATGGATTGCAATTTGTATTGGTGTGATCTTGTGATTTCTAAAATGTGTGTGTGTATTCCTATGTGTATATTTGTATGTTTGTGTATATCAGTGTGTGTAATTATTTGTCCTGTCCACAAACAGCAAAGATACCCCAGTAGCAATGAGCACACTTGAGAACCTAGATCTTGGTGTCTAATATACATTACCTATTAAAATGAACCACAGCTCCTCAGAGAGATGGCTGCTTACAGGACTAGGGCAGAGTAGGTTTGAGGTGAGCCTAGAACATCTTGTTATACCAGAAAGAAAGGAAATGCTCAAAAAAAAAAAAAATTATGAATTCATGTCATAAGGGCACAGTAGCCAATGAAAAGGACTCCCACTGACCAAATCTGGAACAATCTGAGTACCAGTTAAGCACAGTAATATAAGCTATTAGAAAAAATAGGAATTCATGAGTCTATACGGATAATAATCGGTATGGATTATTAGTAGGGGAGAGAGAAGGAGGGATCTTGCTTATGTTAGAATGCCAAGAGCTGATTGGAAAAATGTGGAGAGAGTGCTGGAAAATTAGCATTGCTACCATCATTGTAAAGATTGGATTAGGCAAAATCATAAAGAAATGGTAAATCTGGGGGAAATTTTTGATAAGGGGCAGGATATTTGCATGATTTTAAAGTATTTCCCACAGATTGCTTCTTATTCTAAAGGAAAAGATAATAATTAAGTGGTAAAGAAATTACACAATACCTTGACTGAATGATCAAAATTAATATCAGCAGTGTGAGGAGGATGGCCATCAGGAGCCTCTAGATCTGACACTCTGAGAGGGATACGGCATCACCCAAGTAGTATCTGGATGAAGAATGCATAACCTGGATCTAACCATGATGGAACATCAGACACTTCAAGATTGTTGCTCCATAAATTAATATAAATATATTGGAGACAGAAAACGTCTCAGGAGTTTTGCAGGAACTGTCCCTTGGGCTAATTGCTTTTAGCCACAGGGGGCTGTTTGTCGGGTGGGGGGGTCATTCTTTGATCAGCTCCCCTCCTGTGGCTCCTAGCAGACCTGCCTTGCTTTACAAAACAAGTCTGAGCCCCAGATCTGAGAATCGACGCGCCACTGTGAGATGCAGCCGCTACCAATCTTTCAGAGATGCCCTCCTGAAGTGAAACAGCTTTCTATATGCAAACCGACATGTTCACATATTCCTTCAGGGCAAAGCTCTGCAAAACTCCTGAGACGTTTTCTGTCTCCAATATATTTATATTAATTTATGAAGCAACAAAGATGAGGAGCATGTTTTTTAAAAATGGGGCAATTGGATTCTCAAAATGACAATATCAGAAAAAAAAAGGCGTATAGAAATGGTCCATACTAAAAGAGACTAAAGAAATATAACAACTACCCTAGACTGGATCCTATACTGCAGGGGGAAATGCCAAAAGGATATTACTGAGTCAAGTGACAAAATTGGAATACAGATAGTAAATAAAAATATTATATCAATGTTAAATTTACTGCAGTTGATAACTGTAATGTGATTATATAGGAGCATATCCCTATTAGAACATACACACTGAAGTATTTAGAGGTGAAGGGCCATGATATATATAACTTACCCTCAAATAGTTCCAAAAAATACATTTTATGTATATTTATGTCTTTAGAGAAAGCACACAAATCATAAAGCAAATGGGGCAAAGTGTTAATAGTAGGTGAATCTGGGTGAAAAGTATACAAATGTTCTTTTTACTGTTCTTCCTCCTACAACCTTCTGTAAGTTTGAAATTATTTCCAAATAAAAGTTAAAAATTTTTTTTAAAAGTTAGCTTGGTAAGCATACAGTCAGAATAAGAAGAATTATTAATAGTTGTATAAATTTAATGCCCAGAGAAGTAAAGCTCTGTCTACAACAGATTTCTACTTAATAAATAAGCCAAATATTGGACTCGACTGGTTAAACCACCTTTACCTGGACCATGTTCAGGACATAATGACAAATTCAGTTTTTGAAACTCTCATTTTATAACTACTATTCAGACTACCTCCATCTGTTAGCATATTCTTTTTATATACGGTGTATAGGACAACTCATTTGGGATAAAGGCATTCTTAGAGACAGTTACATCCAGTTCTTAATTTCCTGGAGTCACCTTGATTGAATTTTGTATATTCTTAGTTGTCAAACACTTATTTCTTATTTTTTGTCACTTATTATAGATGGCTAATTTTACTCATATTTTCACTCTAATTCATTTTTGTAGAATTGAACTATTGGGGTGATAAAGATGAAGATATTTGCTCCCTCTCCGATCAAATTTTATTCACAAGAACATTTTCAAATTTTGTAACAAAAGGCCTTTAAGGATTATCTGGGTGATTTTAAAAGCCCATTCCAGAATATGTCTGTACTCTCTAGGAATTACCTAGAGAGAAGTTTTATAACATCTTAAACAACCCACAGCAAGTTCTTTAAGTCTCAAGCATGTTTCAGCTAATTTAGCAATTGATTTCAATGGCCTTTTCCACATTGCTGTGTTATCAAGAATGCATCTTTCCTTTGCTTTTTTACTTTTGTGTCATGAAATGTAAGCTTCCTTCTTCTTTGTTTTCGTGATTGAACTGCAGGTTTTATAAGCTTTTCTTGAAATTGGTCATTCATCAAAAAATGAAAGATATCCCCTTCTTTTTTTTTTTTTGTTTGCCTGAACAAAATCTAAAAAGGCAGAGAAAAGTCTAAAAATCTAAAATCACATTCACAGAACATATTCTGGTTTTAGTTTCACATTAAATTCAGGATTATTTTTGTGGATTTACCCAGGAAAACTTAGCTAAGAAAAACTGTCTATTCCCTCGTCATAGTTTGTGAGACATAATGAGATAGCACATGAAAGTTCTTTGAAAAGCGTAAAAAACTTATTTCTTTTGACTTTCCTTTATGAAGTAGGGAGAAAACAATTCCAGGCAATGGGGGAAATTGTAAAGGATATACACTTGAAAAATTCTATAATCTCATCTCCCCAGAGAGACCCATGGTTAGTTTGGAAATTCTTCAAACTAGCTTTCTGTCCAAACAGTATATATAATATATAAAATATATATTGTTTAATAATGAAATCACTACTGTTCATTCTTTTCTGCAACTTGATTATAAAAAGTTTGTCTGTCTTCCATTCCTACAGCATTGTTTGAAAGGAGACCAAAATATGGTGTAAAAAAAAAAAAAAGATCAATATAATAAAAATGACATTCAGTTTACTGCTTGGTAATAACTTAATTGGTAAAATGCAAATATATTAGAAATACACATTTCTGGTTGTAATGTAAAAATAACTGAAAGAAAATTCCATTCTATTTTCACATCATTAATGTATGGATTGAGTATAATTCTGTGTTTGTATGTTTCTTTCAGGGCTAGTGGTTGGATTTATCCTAACCATTGCAAATTTCAGCTTTTTTACGTCTTTGCTGATGTTTTTTCTTACTTCTTCAAAACTCACTAAATGGAAGGGAGAAACAAAGAAGCGTCTAGATTCAGAATATAAGGAAGGTGAGATTAATTTTCTTTGATATTATTCAAAATGGTAAACTTTATTGCATCCCAACATAAGCTTTTAATCAGAACGCATTGATTAGACTGTCAAAAAAGATAAATTTTTATACGAGAATTACTTTAATAGCCTAATTTAGTTTATTATTTATCTCACCACAATAGGAGATGACAGCAGAGTTTTAGAAGCACTAGAGTCTATCCTTAATTATTCCAGATTTAATAATAACAGTATAGAATATGGGCGAAGGTGCCATAGCACTTTTAGTCTTTTTTTAAAAATGTCAGTCATTTTTCTTAAACCTTAAAATACAAATTTCTATAACTGCATGATTTTCCTTCTGAGAAGAAAATATTTCTTGTCCTTTTCATCTGTTTTCAGGAGGTCAAAGGAACTGGATTCAGGTGTTTTGTAATGGAGCTGTGCCCACAGAGCTGGCCCTGCTATACATGATAGAAAGTGGCCCTGGGGAAATCCCGATAGATTTTTCCAAGCAGTACACTGCTTCCTGGATGTGTTTGTCTCTCTTGGCCGCACTGGCCTGCTCTGCTGGAGACACATGGGCTTCAGAAGTTGGCACGGTTCTAAGTAAAAGCCCGCCAAGGCTGATAACAACGTGGGAGAAGGTTCCAGTTGGTGAGTCTTGATTTGAGTTTCTTAAAAAAAAAACAAAATAAGCAAACAAAAAAAACTTCTTGATTTAATGTATTTCTTATTTTAGAGCCTTTTAAGAATTGTATTTAGTCTCCTTAAATAAAGGCAAATTAGAAAACTATTATAGGCTATTGAATTGGTGATAATAAATAATATATTTTGGAAACATTAGCAAGACCTAGATAAACAATACAGAAAGGTAGAGATTGACCTACAAACGTAACAATGGGGAAAGAAAAGAAGGGGAGCAATAGAGTATCTCTTGAGGGCCTGTTACGTAATTAGTGCTTTAACATCATCTCAGTTCCCCATTAACTTTATCAATTACTACTACAAATTGCAGATCCAAATCTGAAATGCTCCAAAATCTGAAACTTTTTGAGCGCTAACAGGATGCTCAAAGGAAATGCTTGTTGTAGCATTCCGGATTTCAAATTTTCAGATTTCGGTTGCTTAACCAGTAAGTATGTATTATGTAAATATTCCAAAATCTGAAAAAATGCAAAGTATGAAACACTTCTGGTCTCAAGCATTTCATATAAGGACTGTACTGCTTCTTTTTTGTTATCTTCTTCTTCCTCTCTTTCTCCCCTACCCTCTCCTTTTCCATCATCTTCTTCTCCTCCTCCTTTTTTCTTTTCCTCTTCTTATCATCTTTATTATGATAGCTAACATATTAGCTATTATAGTAGAATACCTACTACAGAGCACTGTTCTAACTGCTTTACATTTATTACCACTTAATACTCATAATATTAATCATCGTATGAATTGGTTCTTTTCCGTCTTACAAACAAGGAATCTACAGCATAGAGTAGTTGAGATAAATTAACCACAGTCACACAGCTTCAGAGTGGCAGAACTAAGATTGAAACCATGCAGTCTGGCTCCATGGAACCATTCCACTGTACTGCTTAGAATGTCAGGAGTTACTACAGAGAAAAAACAGTTTTCTAAGTAGGCTATGGTCTTGAGATTGCATTAAAGAGAATGCTTTATTTGAATTAGCCTTAATTAGAGAGGTATCAAAATTTTTTCCTTTCCTTGACTTTATGTGTTTGCTGATTGTTAACCAGGTGATTTTATGTGTGTTTCTTCTTCAGGGACCAATGGAGGTGTTACAGTGGTGGGCCTTGCCTCAAGTCTCCTTGGCGGTACCTTTGTGGGCATTGCATACTTCCTCACACAGTTGGTTTTTGTGAATGATTTAGACATTTCTGCTCCCCAGTGGCCAATTATTGCATTTGGGGGTCTAGCTGGATTACTAGGATCAATTGTGGACTCATATTTAGGGGCTACAATGCAGTTTACTGGTAAGAACATTTCCTTATTATTACCTCTTAGTATATTAAAGAAATGGGGAAGAAATAAGAAAAGAATAATAAAAAAAGAAGTGACAATTAAAAATAAATCCAAAGACACAGGGTGTTGAAGGACCAGAAATGATAGGGCAAAGTCTCTTCCACAATTTTGTTTTTATTTTGTGTTAAATTAATTGAAAGAGAATTAGTCCTGCAGAGCAGTGATTAGAAGCTATGTGGGGAGGATATGATGGTGCAGGAAACAGATAGTTTTGCTTATCGGCCATCACCATCACCCAATCCCACCATCACCCAAAAGCAGGACATTTGGGATCAGATCATTTTAATTTGTTTTCCAAGTCCATTTGAGGGATAACTATCGTACTAATCTGACTAACACATATGACCTACTTTCGTACTGTGACATTGTGCTTGCTGTGCTGGCCACTGAGTTTTTAGCCCCACTCAAGATACATGGGAAAGTAAGTTTTCCTCAAAATTTTCTGTGCTTTGCTTCTGAGGCTCTCCTGTCCTATCAGTGTGCTGACATATTCTGTTAGGTGTCTATTTGCTCCACACCCTCACCAACCATGTTTTCACCTTTGATTGACATCATGAGGAGGCTGGGAGGCTAGAGAAAGGTTCTCTGAGTACAGTCCTCCCAGTGTCCTTCATGCCCCAAAATAATCTATGTGCCCTTCTTCCATTCCTCTCCCCACCAGTCAGAGTATTTGCACTCTCAGTTTTGTTAGTCTCATTTAGATGCTAAGGAAGAAGCAATCTGATTTTAATTCCCACTAAAGGGTCGATAACTCTACACACACACACACACACACACACACACACACACATACAGAGTGCACATGTTTTTTAGACAGCATAGGTTTCTTTTTTTTCTTTTTTTTTCCCCCCAGCCTCTGAGAGCCTAGGTTTCATTATAACTGGTGAAGTTCTGATCATATTGAGTGAATTGAAAAAGAAATGTACACAGTAGGGGAGCTACTAATTTATCCTGTAAACTTTTGTGTACCTCCTTTGTGCCAAAACCGTGCTGGGCCCTGTAGATCCAGTGCTGAGGCCACAGACATGAACCCTACTCTCAGGGACCTCACAGGTTGATCTTGGAGGGGGAACCACTGAGAAGGCAGGCCCAGCCTGCCAATTTCATGCCCTTTCTGCTGTTAATGTTCTCTTTCCACTTACGAAGTAACTCCAGAGGTATTGAGAGAATATTACCAAGGTGTGCTGAAGCTCATTTGTTCAAAGAGGCCTTTTGTAATCAAGGGTTCCATATCTCTCATCATGTAAATTATGCATCAATGTCATTTTACAAGTCACTAAGAATCTTTCAAAAATTATCTCCTTTGGAGGAAAAAAGCTATTTTTTTTTCTTTTAATCAAGTCATTTGGGTTTTCCACCTCACTTTCTTCTTTTCCACTTCAGGTTTGGATGAAAACACTGGCATGGTGGTCAACAGCCCAACAAATGAGGCAAAGTACATAGCAGGGAAACCCATTCTTGATAACAACGCAGTGAATCTGTTTTCTTCTGTCCTTATTGCCCTCTTGCTCCCAACAGCTGCTTCGGGTTTTTGGCCCAGGGAGTAAACTTTTATTTCATTTCCATAGATCAAAACTGGTGAGTCCACCTAAATTTGCAATTCCAGTGTTCATCTTAAGAATAATACTTGTAGTCGCAAAGCAGAATTACTAGTTCCATTTTCCTCTCAACTCCCTTGTAACAGCTAGCATCTTTCTAGTGAAAGAGAAGAGTTCATAGAACTTCTGCATATTTTTCTTCTGCTGAATGGAGGTTCTTGAGCAGTGAAGCTACCTTGTCCCTACATATTGCTATATATTGAATTGAAAATTCCTGTGTAGTCAATGTCAAGTATTATTTTGTTTTGTTTGTTTAAACCAACATAGAGCCTAAAAGTGATGATGTTTAAAATGGTTCTCAGTTGAGGCAGAGAAATGCTACTGTGCCAGTTACCCAAATGTTGTATCTGCCTTAAATGTTTTAAGCTAATATATGTGGAAGCCTAAATAAGTATAGTATCCTGGACTTCTCCCATTACCTTGCCATCACAATTGTGAAAAATGTGGATAGTGGTCCCTAGTGAGTTATGTGGCCTACTCCACACTTGTGCTTCCTTCCTCAGGGTTAGTGATGAGAAAAAAAGTAAATGCCTTTTTCATATGACCATTATAAAGCATGAAAAAAAATTATTTTTAACTAAAAGCAAAAGAACGTTATCTTATATCTAAAAAACGTGCACCTTACTATATAGTTCAGTTCTCTGAACAGAAACTATCTTGAGTTCAAAATTCTTAATGTATTATATAGCTTTCTTTGAAGTATGTATAGGAATATGGTTTAGTATTGGCATCCCGAACAGCTGAAGAGTCATTGGAAAATTATTGTAATTTCTTTTTAATTTACTATCCTGTAAGTTGCTGGAAAATGGTATGATTTCCTATTACATACATCTAAGTTGTGCTCTTCTTTACATTGTAGTCTCAACTAAAATGAATTCTGCTTTTCAGTTTTGTTCTTCACTCTGATTTACTATGTGCTAAAGGAGTTTTGACATGGTATGGATTATTTTACTAAAAGTATTTTTAAATGTTTCTCATGTGATTTCTGTACCTTTTTCTCCCTGCCCGTTTTGCTTTCTTAAAGAAATTGGGGAAGGAATCCATGAATAAACCACCACAAGAGTGGATGAAGTTTAGAATTCTTTATTTGGTGACCCTACTATAATGCCAATATAGAACTGACTTAGTTCAGGAAGGAAAGCAAAACAGTCACATCCTTAATCCTTAAGCAAATCAAATCAGTGGTTTGCAACCATTGTTTTTGAACTTTGGGTATACATTGGAAGTACCTGGACATGTTTTAAAAAAATACTCGTGTCTGGGCCTCAAGTCAAAATTCTGATTTACGTGATCTGGGGGATAGCCTGGACATTGAGACTTGTTAAAGCTATGGTTAGAATGATTATGTAGGGAGTTTTTAAAACATGGTTGCAAAGGCCCCTTTCTAGACCAAGTAAATCAGAATGTAGGAAGATGAGGCCCATGCGTGGGTATTTTTAGAAAGCTCTGGGAAATTTTAATGTTTAGCCACATTTAGAACTAATGAATGTCCTAGCACTGTATCTTCTTTTTTTTTTTTTTTTTGAGACAGAGTCTCACTCTGTTGCGCCGGGCTAGAGTGCTGTGGCATCAGCCTAGCTCACAGCAACCTCAAACTCCTGGGCTCAAGTAATCCTTCTGCCTCAGCCTCCCGAGTAGCTGGGACTACAGGCATGCGCCACCACACCTGGCTAATTTTTTCTATATATTTTTAGTTGTTCAGCTAGTTTCTTTCTATTTTTAGTAGAGACAGGGTCTTGCTTTTGCTCAGGCTGGTTTAGAACTCCTGAGCTCGAGGGATCCACCCACCTTGGCCTCCGAGAGTGCTAGGATTACAGGCGTGAGCCACTGCGCCTGGCCCTAAAGCACTATATCTAAAAGCAGCTTTGGAAAAATGGTACTTTTCACTTTTTTTTTTGTTTGTTTATTTGTTTTGGTTTTTTTTTTTTTTGAGACAGAGTCTCACTCTGTTGCCCGGGCTAGAGTGCC